AGAAGGGATTTGTGTGGGCTCACACAGGGATGCAGGCAGGAAAATCTGCTGGGTGTTACTAGGCAGAGAAATCACATCAGACTCCAGGATTCCCTGGAGAGGAAAACAGTTGGAGGTCAGGACAGCCTTTGTGGTGAGCACAGACATGCTCCTCAGCTGAACCAGAAAAGCCTTTCTTGTGCCCTGACAGGCTCTTCCCTGCTGCCAAGTGCAGAGGCACTGGGAATCTGCTTTTTTAGGGGGGTGCTGGTAATGTGATTTGTCACTATAAACTCCCTCCACTGAGTATTTAGATACCTCTGGCCTTCTCCAAAGGCTGTTTACTGGCTGTTTCCCCTCCCCATTTCTGAAAACACTGAATATTTAAGCCAAGCAAACTCACCAGCCTTCCCTGACTGATTTTTCTCGAGGCTTTCACCGGAATAATTCTCCTCCAGCTTCCCATCAGTGGCTGCACCAACAGCCACCAGCAGTATTGATCAAGTACTGAGTCACTTGTGAGCCAGCACAGGCACTTAAAAAGAGAATAAAAAATAAAGTCCTCTACAGAAATATCAATCAAAGTCTGAAAAAAAAAAAAATCAGGGAAGAAAGGGCTAAAAGCATATGTAATAAATGCAGCACAATCTGGCTTTATAGAGAGCACTTTAGAGGTAATTCCAAGCTGCTTTAGACAAATTTAAAAATTATCCAAGCAGATACCTCCTGAAAAGAACTAGACCACTCAGGGATGATTATTTTTATTTGTGGTATTAATGCAGTGTCAAAAGGCCTCGTTACAGCTTTTAGAGGTGAAGTTGGTACAAGAAGCTTCCAGAAATGCCCTTTACCTCCTGCACCTCCCCATCCTCCCTGAGTTCCAAGAGTTTCTCTAGATTTGCAGTAAAAAATTCAGAAGTGAATGGTAAAACACATCCCTGATGAAAAGGCCCCAGAAGAAATTCCCAATTTCCATTGCTGGGCTCTCAGCACAGCCCCAGGAAGCAGTGGGGTCATCAAACCCTGGGCAGAGCCATTGGGAAGGGGATGACAAACAAGAACTGATCCAGGCAGCCTAAAAAGGGGGGATGCACTCATTCAGGTGTGAGAAATAGAAATTTTTGGTGGTGGGAGATTTTTAATGTGTGCCTTTAAAATTTTTTTAAACAAACAGGAAAAAAAAGGATCAATATTTAATTCAGTTCTAGGGGTAACACACCCTGGAAACGGGATTGGTGAACTATTAAATATTACCTTTCCATAACTCTGCCTGGGTTTATCTCTGCTGCCTGCAGTTTGTCTCCCCTCTGTTCCCCTCCTGAAAGCATAGTAGTGATTTTTGTGTTTTTATTACACAATGCATCTGTTGCCACTTCTGTCCAAACCTCCCAAACAAGTTTAATTCCCCCGGATCACTCCCAAAAAGAAGGAGCTGTCACCTGAGCAGCTGCCACCTCCCTGTCCCTGTGCTTGGGGTGGGGCTGGCACCTCCAGTCCTTTCCTGGCATCCCCAGGGCTGATGTTGGAACACATTCCAGGCAAGGAAAGAGACGTGGAGGTGATGCCCAGCTGCCAGAAGTCCAGGATGTGGAGGTGAATGCCACTGCTGGGGCTAAGATAAATCTTTGTTCCTTTTCTATGCCTGAGCCAGCATTAATTTCTGTAATTAGTGAAGGGAAATATTATTTACTGTCTGTGCAATGCCACGGGCTGGTGTTTCCCATGCAGGGAAAACCAGGATGCTGGAAAATGGGCAGGGTGAGCTGCTCCCATGGCTCTGTTATGAAAGAAATAATAATAAAAAAGCCAATAATGGGATTTTGGATGGGTGTGGCACTTCTAATTTTCAAAGCAAAACGTTCAGGGGAAGGTAGTGGTGGTGTTCACTGGCTGAGGTGGCATCAAGCAGCTCAACACAGCATCTTCACCAGCTTCTGAAATCTCACATCACTTCAGCTCCCACAGACACAGGAACAGCTCTTTGTTAGACAGGAATTGGGGTGGTGCTGGCTGTGAATTCAGAGGGGCTCTCCTCACAGGCATTGAGGTCCTTCTTCTTCCTTTCCCACAAGGAATAGCAGCCTGGAGCTCTCCCCTGCCCTGGCTGGAGTCTGAAGGTGATTTTCATCAAAGTCAGGTGAACCCCAGCACTGGGGCTGTTTTTCTTCTGTGCAGTGACTGACCCACAGCATCCTCCTCTGCACTGCCCAGAGCTGCCCTGTGGGAATGGGACCTCTACAGCTCCCAGTCCTCCTTTTGTGACATCCCAAGGCAAGTTTAGTCAGCTCTTCAGTGTCAGACCTCACTGTGTTCTCCAGCCCAAGAGCCTCTGTGGGTGCTGGAGTCCCATCACTCATGGCACAAAAGAGAAGATGTGTGCAGGCAGTTATCAGATCTGGGCTCCTCACTCATTTCTCAGAGCAGGAAGCACTATTTATTACATCTTCTTGCTGCTTCTAAACACAATCAACCATTTCTTGGCATTTCATCAAAGATAAATAGCCTGATCCTGCTTTCATCCACACAGAAGGAAAAATTCCCCTTGGCTTCTTCTGGTGAAAGCCCAAAGAATATCAGCTGATGGTTTTAAAGTTCTTCTCACCTTTTCCCCCTGTTCCTTCTCTGCCAGGAGACCAAGCTTCAGGTACAGGCTCCCTTCTGGGGTTGGCCCTCACTCCCATCTTCCAGAGGATCATCTTTCCCAAACCACTGTGTTCCACTGCCTCGGCTGTGGAGGAGGAAGGAGCTGCTGTCCCTCACAGCACAGCCCTGAAATACTCAGAGCTTTGAGTGCTAAATCCAGGCCCACGGAGTAATGGCATGGATGGTGGAGGGAAAGCCATGGCATGAAGGTGCCATGGATGGCACTGCCACCAGGGTTTCAATTGCAAGATCCTTTCACCCAGTGTTTTTCAACAACTCCAAAATTGCACACTCACCAAAAAAAAAAAAACCACGAGAAAAAAAAAACACCAAAAAAAACCCACACCAAAACCCAAAAACAAAACCAAAAAAACCCCCAAACAAACAAACAAAAATCCCCCAAACAACAACAACAACAAACCCAGCAAACTAAACCAGGAGAGAGCAGTGGTGGGGCTTCTTTTCCCTTTCAAAATTTGTAAGCATGTGTGTTCAGTGCTCGTGGAAATGTCAAATCTGAAGCGGAGGGAACTGGTACATCATCTGTCAAAACTGCAGCTGGCTTCAGCAGCTCAGCGTGACATTATCAGGGAGCAATAGAGGAAGGGGGGGAAAAAACCCCAGGAGCCCAGCAACAGGAGAAAACGAAGTCCTGCCTGCTGGATCAGAGGTCATCAGGAATAAAAGTGACACTAAAACAGAGTTAAATGCACTTTAAGTTTGCAGCAAGGTTGTTTTAAAGGCTATTTCTGTCCTCGCCTTCTGCTGCAAACAACCTGAGGACACTGAGCTGTGCTTGCCCTTCTCCACCTCTCTCCTATCTTCCTCCTGATAACCATGTGGTTCTACCCATGGATCTCAAAGAGCTCCCAGAGCCCTGTTTTCCCCATCTTCAGGGAGCAGAGAAAAGAAAATTATGTGACTCAAGGTCATGTGGGGGACCCCAAAATTGTGCTGCTCCTTCAGTGAGCTTCCAACAGACCCACACTTCTCTCCCTTTTCTCCTCCAAGTTCCCCACAAGTCTTGCTTGGTCCTGTCCCCAGCAGCCTTCTCAGCTGGCTGTGCCCTTGGGACTCCTCATCTCTCCACGACCTTGCCACTTCCCCAGATCTGCTTTCCCTGGATGTTTCCAGGCACTCTGGGGAGCAGGACCTTGCATTTTTAGCGCCGGTGCTGCGAAGCGCTGAGCAAATTCCCAGTGACAGATTATCAATAGTCAGCACTATTAAAAATTTCCCCCAACTCCAGAGAAAGCCAACCAAGTACTGAGCAAAAAGGAGTCGATTTTGAGTCATTCCAGTCCCTGTTCCTCTGGTGTTTGAGGAGATGCTTCCATGCAGAGGCAAACAGGGATGAGTGCCTGTCCTGCTGGGTTTCGTGGAAGATTTTTCCCTGGCAGTGAGCAAAGATTTGGGCTGGAGTGTTTGGAGAAAAGCTCGAGGCCGAGAGCAGGTTGGCAAGAGGTGGAGGGGAAGCAAAGATCCCATTTCTCTGCAGGGATGGAGGAGCTATTTGCTGTAAATCTGCTCCAATTGCAGGCAGGTGCCCTCGGGGACAGCCACGCTCCTGCAGGGAATGCTGGATGCCAGAGATGGATCTTGCAGGGCTCTGGCTTGGCCAAGGCAGGGTGAGCGTGCCTGGCTGCTGGCTCAGAGCTGTCATTTGGACAGATTTAGGGAGTGCAATCCTGTCTTCTGGAGCAGGTAAAGCCGCCTGGTGATGAGGAGGGGAGGCAGGAATTAGGAGCCAAGGCAAAGACAGAGCTGGTTAATGGACCCATTAGAGGGCATTAGCTGGCAATGGTGTGACATGGCTGGAATTTACAGGAGAGCACCAGCACAGCCAGAGCTTTGGGCTTGGGGTGTGCTGTGCTCTCCATCTGCCAGTGCTTCCCTGAGATCCCAGTTACTGGATTTGCAGGGATGCCCCGAGGAAGGCAGGAATGATGAATCTGACTCCATGTTCTCAGAAGGCTAATTTATTATTTTATGATACTATATTATATTAAAGAATACTAAACTAAACTATACTAAAGAATACAGAAAAGATACTTACAGAAGGCTAATAATGATAATAAATAAATTAATAAATGAATAAATAAAATAAGATAATAATGAATAAAGGGGTTGCTTAAGATAAAGATAAAAAGATAATAATGAAAAAGATAATAATGAAAACTCCTGACTCTCTCCAGAACCTTGACACAGTTTGGCACTGATTGGCCAAAGCGTGAAAACAACTCCCAGCAGAATCCAATGAAACAAGCACCTGTGGGTAAACAATCTCCAAACACATTCCACATGTGAGCACAACACAGGAGAAGCAAATGAGATAAGAATTGTTTTCCTTTTCTCTGAGGCTTCTCAGCTTCCCAGGAGAAAAATCCTAGGCGAAGGGATTTTTTCAGAAAATGTGAATGCCACACCCAGGAATGCTCCTGGGTGATGGAGGAGGTGGGAAGCCAAAGGGTGGCAAGGGGATTGCCCCCAGGGTGTGGGATTGTCCCCAGGGTGCATTCCTGGCTCACGGAGATGAACAGGAGGGGGGGAATTTGGCAACCCCAAAACCTCCCTGCCACACCACCACTGCCTTCCCCTTGCTGCTCCCCTGGTCACCCCAGGCCCCTGCTCCCCTTGCTGCAGTGCCAAGAAGCGTCAGTGACTCTGGAAAAGTCACTTGAGCTGCTCCAGTTTTCCCAGTTCGTTCATCTCCCTCTGACACCCAGGATCCCTCCTCACTCCCCAGGGTGGGAAGGGATGGGGCTGGTGGCACCTCTGGGACTTCCCTCCTCTTCAGCCCAGTCCCAGGTCATCAGCTCCTGCAAGCAGTGGGACAGATACACCTAAAAACTTAAAAAGAAATAAATATAATCCAGATCACAGCTCTACAAATCAGACCTGGCTGCTGGGGAGGTTGATTGCTAAAGGCTGCAGAAAAATGGGGACATGAGTGATCAGGACATGTAAGGGATGGGGAGGGTGGCAAAAGAACCACTCCCCCCAAAGAAAATATTCTTATAGATCCAGCAGGTCTGTGTATTTTGATCCTGGTTCCTGATAAAGGAAATTCCCTCATCCATGTGCATTTTCCACAGGCCAGCGCTGATGGAAGAGCAGGCAAGGACACCACAGAGCTCCATGCTGCCTGAAGAAGAGCCTGCCTTGGCCCCAGGGCAAGGGTAAGCAACCCCAGCCAGCCCTGCAGGAATAGGGTGGATGGATAATTTGTGGCAGATGGATAATTCAGGCCAGAAGCCCTTCCTCAGCATCCCAGGGGAGTCCCAGGTCCAGCCTCCCTGGTGTGGGATCCCTCACAGGGACCACAGGCAGCAACCTGGGTGATGGACACAACAATTCTTCATTGCTTTCTCCCTTTCCTCTTTTTTCCCTACATCCTCCAGCTCTCCTGCTCCCCACTGGGTTTTTTCAGCTGGTAATTACAGCTGAAGTGGACAATCTGTTGTTTTATTTTTAGGCTGGAAGCACTTCCAGGCCAGCTGAAACAAGGCAGCAGCCATGCAGTGGGGAGGATGCTGTGGGGTCCCTGTCTCCCTGCTCTGGCAGATTCAGGGTGAGGGGATGCCCATGCAGAGATTTTTAGAGCATCCCTGCACACTGTGGAGCAGTAGCAAAGTTTCCCAAGGCTGGAGTTAATTCCAAAGTGTCCAGGACACCCAGCAGCCCCCCAGGTGCCACTTGGAGAGCAGGAGAGCAACCCAAATTCCCCTTCTCCAGCTCACAGGGCCCAGGTTTGAGGTGAACATCCTTCTCATTTCAGACCTAAAGCGATCTCACCCCTTGTTTTTTCCTTCCCCTCCCTTTGCTGATGATTTCACTGACACAAAACAACCCCAAAAAATAAAAAAGGACCGAGGAGACCCAACACAGGGCAAGTGCAGAGTCAGAGCAAAGAACTTGTGAAGTCCAAGCCCAGCTATTCCATGCAGTCATTAGTAAAAGATGTTGTGCCTGCAGGGAGACAGTTTCTGGGTGACTGGATGTAGAACTGTTTGGAACAAATTCAATAAAGCCCAGCGTGCCTTTTGCTTTTAAATATGCAATTTTCTCTAAGCTGGAGTTCCTCGTGGAGGAGCATAGGTTGGGAGTTTGCCAGGGAGGTTTCCAAAATGAAACCTGGGGCTCAGGGGGCACCCTGAGCTGGGAGAGGTGGTGACCCCAGCCTGGCCTGCCTCACCTGGGAGCAGGCATTTCACCACAGCCTTCTCCAACAAACCTCCAGAGGGCTTTGGTGATGCTCTGACAACATATGGAGCCTTGGAAGCTGATGTCAGAACCTCCAAAAATCACTGCAAAGCCCATTTTGGGAGGGTTTTAGTGGTCCAAAGCCCAGGGCAAGCCTGGTTTCAGCTACCTTGATTCTCAGTGCCTTTCTCTGGGTTGTCACACGTGCCACACACAGCACTGAGGCTGCCAGGCAGAGGATTCTCCATGGAATCTGCCTTTATTTTCATTTATAAGAGCCTTCAGGACAGGTTTAACTGCTGGAGTATGGACCAGCCATTCCCAGTTCTGGCTACAAGTGAATCACAGTGCTGAAGCCCCTGCTTTAATTAAAAGACACGATACCTCTGCCTACCTAGAGAGCAATGGCAACAAAAGCAGGTTATCAGGAGAAGTAATATCATCTAATCCAATCTGATCTGTGTAGTTATTAGGCCTAGCTAATATTGGTATTGATTTTATTACTAATATCACTGCCACAACTGGAAACCAACCACAGCTCAGAGTTTTGCATCCTTCATCATTTTGTTCATTTATTTGGCCTCGGAACAGATGATTTTTTCTTTCCTCCATCGCTCAAAATCCACATTCAGGGTTCCTTTTTTGGGTTTTACCTCTTGTTCCTTCGTCTTTACCTCTTCCTCACTACATCTTCTGCTTTTCCCTTCTTGGTTTGCTCCTCAGCCTCTACAAAACTACTTCATGCAGGATCAAACCCAGTGCTTACATTTTTGTTAGTCTGAACTCAGCCAAAGAAGCTTCCAGCAGTTTATGAGTCAGAAACACAAGATAGAGCTGCTGGTCATTGAGAGAAATTGCCAGGAATTTGGGGAGGGTGAATCACCCTCAAAGATAGCTGAGAAGAGAAACAGGGAAACAACCTCTTGTCCTTTTTCTCTTCATCTTTCAGCTCATTTTTTTTACCCAGCTGTGAGTAAGGAGCACAACAAGGGAAATTTTTTTAACCTTTTTATAGGAAGGAGCTTGGTTCTTGCATCTTCCCACAAGGACAACCTGGGAGATGAACAAACCTGGTGCTGGACACGCTCCCTCTGCGAAGCCACCTGCAGTGAGCTGGGAAGTGCTCAGCACACAGAGCCTGTCTTTGGCTCCCAGGGAGTTCAATTTGACTCTGGGTTAACTGCAGTTCCCTTGCAAAGCTGTCTGTCACCTCTCAGCCTCTTCCTTGCTCACTCGAGAAAATAACAGCTCCCACACTCTGAAAAATCCCACATAATTGGTACAGCCTCCACAGAGTGCCTCTCAGCCAGCAGCAGGACCATTTGGAGCTCGAAAGGTGGCCCTGTCTTTTCAGAAGGGTCATGGGTTGACAACCTTGTTTATTTTCCTCCGTGTCTGTCCAAGGAAAAAAAACACAAACCAACCAAAAAACACCAGCCCAGCTCCTCCAAGTCGAGCCTGGCAGCACCAATTTGGGGCACAGCTGGAGGAAGGGGACAGGTTTCCATCCCACTGAGGCTGTGTAAAAGCCTCAGACTTAGCCTTGACCATCTGGTCATCTACCAGTCCTCAGCTTTCCTTTTTTTGCCCCACACCTTGGTAGGATGAAGGATTCTGACACTGAAGCACAGAGATCTGGAAAATGTGGAGCCAGTTCCAGTCATCCTGCACATCTTTGGCCCTCTCTCCAACCCCATTTGAGCACAGAGAGCTGCCACATCATCAATTTGGTGTGGATTTGGGTATCCTGAGCACCAAACCCCATTTGTTTTGCTGTTTCACCCCCTGGCTTGGCCAGGTCCTCATCAGCATCTCTCCCTCACACAACAGATAAATAGCAATACCCAGAGCCACACACACACTTACAAATAAATAGGAAAGGAGCATCAATTCAGCCATGAATACAAAGCTTAAGGATACTGCATCTCATTCCTGTTTGCTGCCTCGGGCACCGCAAGCTGACAATCAAAATTCACCCAGTGCCAAAAATATTAGTTTAGTTGAATATTTGTGTTTGCTCAGCTCCTTCTCGTGCCGGGATGACAAACTGCCCTGAGAAGGCATTGCCAGAGGCACTCACACTCCCATTCTCTCTCTCACTGATTCTGGCACACAGAGGGATCTTTTCAAACCAATAAACACTTTCATTTTTGTCTTGGCTGAAAGGGCTTCCTCTGTGGGGTGATGTTTTGCTGGAGGAAATGATTTAGGAGCAGAGATACGGTTGTGATTCAATATGGTTGTGATTCAATATCGTGCTCAGGAATTCCTTGTAAAGTCAAGGGAGAGACAAATTCTGACATTACCCGAGCCTCGTTGAGCTTATCAGAGTATTTTTGGAGTGAGAATCCAGCAACAAAGACGGCGACACTTTGTTATGTGGTGTCTGGTAGCTCTTGTTCTCAGGTGGAACAGCAGCAACACCACCTCTCTCGTGTAAGTTACGTCCTGACACGTGTGAGAACATGCAGAGGGAAGGGAAGAAGAGAAAAGGAGAGGGAGCTTTTCCAAGCTCTATCTTGGGGTTGGATAAAGAGGATGGAGCTCAGATCAGCAGCAGTGTCAGAGCTGGTCCCTCCCAGCCTTCCCACCTGGGATGCACCAACCCTTGACTCAGAATCACAAGCTGATCCAGCAGGAGGGAAGTCAGACCAACCATGAGAGACAGATTTCCTCTTTGCTTTCCCTCCTCACCACCTTCTCATTGCTGGAAGGATGCCCTGAGCTTGTCAGGGAACCATGGAATGGTTTGGGTTGGAAAGGACCTTTAAGATCACCCAGCTCCAGCCCCCTGCTGTGGGCAGGGAACACCTCCTGCCACCCCAGGTTTCTCCTAGCCTGGCTCTGATGTACACCAGAAACTCAGATAAAGCACAAAGCCCTACAGAAACACGTCTGTGGGCTGGAGCTCAGCAGTCTGACCCACCTGCCTGGAGGGGATGGGCTCACACCCCCCTCCTGCTGCCCTGGGGACACCCCAGTTCCCCCAAAGCCCAGCCTGGGGAGCAGCTCCCTCCCACTGAGAGCATCCTTCTTTCTGGCCTCAGGAGGTGTTTGTTGAGGAGCTGTAGAGAAGAACAATGCTGCTGTTTCCTCATCAAGGTGGGCTGTGGCAAGGCAGAGTCCTGCTTTCACTCCAGCACTACCCTGAAACACAAAGCTTTGTATTTGCCTGTCAATATCCCAGTTGGATTCTGCTTCTCTGTATTTAATTCGAGATGAGTACTGCAGGACCTCTTTTGTTAGCTGGATACCTCATGCACATTGTTATTATTTCTTTCATAAAAATCAATAAAGACTTAAGAACAACAACCACCAATAATAACAGTACATCTCTCTTGGTGTCTTTGTGTTGCAACTTGCTGAATAACTCGGAAAAGCAGCAGACAACAGTCAGGAGAGAAGATTAAAAAAGATGTTGTTCCCAAACTGGACCTGCTCTTCCTTTGGAAAAAGTTTCCAGCCACTTAAAACTGCAGCACCATCTCAGCACACAAGAATTCAGCAGCAGAGGCTCCGGATGGGAAGAAATGCTCAGAGGATGAGGCACCAGACAGAGCTCCTCTGATCTGGTGTCCTGCTTGTCTTGCCCGTGAAACAGGGGCAAAAAAAAAAAAGAAAATGGAAATGTAAAGATGGAAATTTAAGGGCACTGCTTTGAAAGCCACAGGCAAATCATTCCTACTGAAGTCACTCCCTGGGCACCAACCAAGCTCAGGGAGATGCATTCCTTGCTGGTTTCCTTCCTGCAGGAAGAAAGGACCTGGAGCTGCTGGAGCAAGTCCAGAGGAGGCCATGGAGATGGTCCAAGGGCTGGAGCCAGGCTGGGAGAGCTGGGGGCACTCACCTGGAGAGGAGAAGGATCTGGGGGAGAACTTGAAGCCTTTTCCAGGGCCTAGAGGGGTTCCAGGAGAGCTGGGGAGGGACTTGGGACAAGGGATGGAGGGACAGGACACAGGGAATGGCTTCCCACTGCCAGAGGCAGGGTTAGATGGGATTTTGGGAAGGAATTATTCCCTGTGAGGGTGGGGAGGCCCTGGCACAGGGTGCCCAGAGCATCTGTGGCTGCCCCTGGATCCCTGGCAGTGCCCAAGGCCAGGCTGGACAGGGCTTGGAGCCACCTGGGACAACGGAAGGGGCGTGGAATTATTTGCTTTTCCAGGTCCCTTCCAACCGAAACCATTCCATGATTTCCCTGCCATCCAATCCCAGGAAACAGCCACAGAAACAGGAATGGAAACCCCACAGGAGCTCTGCAGAGTACCCTTTAATTACTCTACATGAGAGGTTAAAAAACCACCATGTGCCTCGAGGCAACACTTTCTGCACTCCCTGCACTGCCATGAGCTGCTCCCACAGCTCCAGCTGGGATTCCCAAGGCCACACCAGGCAGCAGGAGCCAGCAGGACAGCACTGCTGTCACAGGGACCCCGCTGGCTTTGTCTGGGCTTCCCTGGTGCCCACAAACTCCTGCAAGGACAGAGCCCAGTCCCCCAGGTCAGTCCTAAGGAATTCCAGCAGGCTCTTTCATGAAATAAACCCCCCAAAATCCAATTTCCTGAGGGACCACTTGCTCAACGTGACCTGCCCTTCACATTTACCAGGTTTCCAGCATTTTGGTTAAAGAAAATATATAAAAATCTAATACTATTGTTTTAAAGGTTAATGTATTCCCAGCCACAGCTCAGAGCAGAGATTTGAGTCCAGGAACAATCATCTGGTGGCAGGAAAGTATTGAGTAGACGACCTAGGTCTTATCCAGCTCTATTTTTTTATGCATGTACAGCTCTTTTTTCATTTCTTTCCTTTTCCGGTTCAGCCATCCAAAGCAACATAAAACCAAAGCCAAACACAGCTGGGGTTTTATCCACATCACACGCACACAGCATCAGCACACAGCACAGCACCATGGCTATTTTTTCCCTCCCATATCAAGGGTTGCTGCTGTTCCAAGATGCTTTTCAGCAGGCATCTTTCCTGGCTTCCCATCAGGCACCTTTTGTGGCTTCCCAGCCGTTTCCATGTGCAGCTTTCACAAAAAAAACCCCAAAAAAACCCCCAAAGGCTGCTCCAAGTGCCACGAGATAAGGGAATTCAGGCACCACAGAGAAGGAAAAGCTGGTGCTTTTGACTCTCTTAACAACTGGTGAGAAGATGAGCTCTACACTTCCCCAAAATCTTCTCCTAAAGCATGAAAGAAAAGCTGCAGAAAGCCAGAAAATCCTTTGGCTCTTAAAAGAAAGGCAAAATTAGTAAATGCTGGCCTTAACTTCACACCTGGAGCTCTCCCTGGAGACACCCAGCCAAGAGGAGCTCCTGCCATTCCAGCAGCTCCCAACTAACCCAGAGCTGCTCAGGGGGTCCCTTTTTATCGCCCAGCAGCTGGGTCCACTCAACAGAGCAGCCTCAGCAGGGACTGTGCTTCACCTGTCATCCCATGCCAACCCATCCCACCCATCCCATCCCATCCCATCCCATCCCATCCCATCCCATCCCACCCCATCCCATCCCATGGATCCCATCCCATCCCCTGCAGCTGAGCAGCAAAGGAAGCTCAGGGACCCTCAAACTCAAGCAGGATTTACAGCAGAGGCAGATTTCTGAAGGAGCATGCCTTGGGGCAGCCCTCAGGCTTCCCTGTGCTCCAGGGAAAGGCTCCACTAGGCCTGGAACAGCCCTGCTGGGGTGTGGAACTGGGCAGGACCTGCTTAACCCAGCAGGTTTTTAATGGCACCTGCCAGCGATGGTACTGGGCTTCGTTTTTAATCGGAAGGCCAGGTTTCAGTTTTCCTACAAGCCTGAAAATACTTAGAAAAAAGGGAAAAGCTGCTAAATCTTACACCCTGGCCAGTCAGGGCTGGATCCTTGTTGGAACCCAGGCTGCTGAGAATTTCAGAATTTCTGCGCTGACAGGAACTGACCCCCATGAGAACCTCAGACCGTAGAGAAAGCTTCCAAAATTGAATGATAAAACTGAGATTATGAGTGTGTAGTTTGAATAAAAGTGTGTGATATCACATAGTAGAAAACTTAAGAATTTAAAGTTTTAGAATATAGTGATATATATAAATAGAAATATATTAAATATATATATTTATAAATATAAAAATATATCTTTATAAATATCAAAAATATATATTTAATAATATAAAAATATTAAATATATAGTATGTATATTTAATATATAAAATATTAAAATATACAAATATATAAATGCCTATTATACAAATATATTATTGATTGTATATATAAAAAGACATCTAAAAATAAATATATAAATATAGATTTATAAATGGAGAAAAATATTTTAAGAATATTTCATATATAAAAATATAAAAAATAAAAATAAAAAATAAAAATATAAACATATATAATATATATGGGTATTATACAAATATATTATTTGTATATATTTAAATATATAAATAAATGTATAAAAATATATATACAAACGCCTGTTATACAAATATATTATTAATGTATTATTCTATTAAACAAATATATATAAGCTTCTATTTAGAAGTTTTAAGACAGAAACTAGTCCTTCTTCTTTATCTCCTTCATGAGTTAAAGTAATATTGTGTAATTAAATAATTAAATCCACATTGCCAGCCACAAGTAGTTAGTTATTGAGTTAAAAACAAAAGTAATTTAAATGTAATTTCTTAATGAGACAATTTATCTTTAAAAAACCTTATTAAAAGAGAGATTCAGCTCAATTTCCACCTTATTAAAAGGAAGTGCTGCAGAAGTCACAGTTTGTGAGACTGTAACATAAATAAGAACTAATAAACAACACAAAAAA